GCACCTGGATATTTTTTTTTGATGCACATATGTTTTTTTGATGCGTGCTGGATATTTTTTTTGATGCATTTACAGTATTTTTTTTTTGATACGTGTCTCCACCGGCACGTTGTTTCCATACCTGTTGCCACCCGTGAGACTTTATTTGTATGTGCTTGTGGTCACATTTGCCATTCACACGAACTATTTCGACGCGATGCAACCAGACTCATACCAGCACTGTGGGCTGAAGAAGCGCCGTTCGGAACTGTTAGCACACAAGCAAACATAGATCATAAGTGCAAGCAAGAGCACAAACGAAACCGCACCAACCAACCAACCATCCATCCATCCATCCATCCATCCACCCATCCAACCACAACAACAACAACAACACCATGCAAATCAGAGAGCTTAGCTGCAAAACGCTGCAAATACCAATCAAAACCATCAAACCCCAAAAAACGGGAAAAAAATAAAAAAAACGGGAAAAAAATCCCAAAAAAAATTGCAGCCCCTTCAGTATAATTAGCTATATTAAACATTTGGTGCCAGTCCAATATATGATTGCATGGAGATCTAAACTCCATAGTAAAACTGCAGATTGCACACTTGCTTCCGTAGCTCATTCAGTGTGTTCATTATCGTTGCCTTTGCTAAGCAATGGCAACTTCCACTGTGGACGACTTGCGACGCTACTTCGAAAGTTTCTACCGAGAGGGTGGGGAGTTCCAAAGTGAAGAGTACGAGGACAGCAACTATTTCGATCATTGCTGGAAGCATCTTCGAACTGGCATCGTTGTATGGAAAGATGCCATTGATTTGTCAACAAGGCCAGGTGCCAAGGCATATTTTCACTACACCGGGGAACTGCCTTTCAGAAACATCACAGCCCTTGAGAAAGAAGCTGCAGAGGTATGGGCTTCACTGAAAACAGAGGGAGAAGGTGCAAGCGCCTGGTGGGGGCGCGGTGTGTACAGCGTCCCTAAATCTCCCGACCGATGGGCAAACCAGATGGAAATCTTAGATAACAATTTCAGAAATATGATGAGGCGAGATGTGGCACTTCATGGTGAAGAGTATGTGAGGAGAGTGTATCCACCACGTGCATCGTTCTGCATTCCTTTGCTCATCGACCCAGAGAATGCCTACGACATTTCAGTGAGGCCAACGCCTGAGATGGAGGCAGCGGGAAAGCCACCGGGCACGAATCTTGGTGGCAAGTTGTTGAATGAGCCCGGGCAGCCAGAGCGCTGCTGTGTGGTTCTCCGGGTGGTTGGGGAGGACGGAGTTACCAATGCTCGAGCTCGCCTCTTAGATGCCCTCCGCGCACGCGAAGCGGCTGCTCAGAGTCCTGGCCTCGAGATTGTTGCCAAGGCGCGTTTGGGGAATGCTCCGAGGAAGCGAGGCTACTTCCCGGAAAGCAAGATCCTGCTAACAGACGTTCTGGAGACCCGTGAGCGCACCCTCGGTGCGGAGCATGCTTCCACATTGGCCTCAGTCAACAATTTGGCAAATTGCTGCTCAAACATGGGCCAGCTGAAAGATGCAGAAGCGCTCTACAGGAGAGCTTTGGAGGCCCAGGAGCGCACCCTCGGTGCGGAGCATCCTTACACGTTGGACTCAGTCAACAATTTGGCAGTTTGCCTCAAGACCACGGGCCAGCTGAAAGATGCAGAAGCGCTCTACAGGAGAGCGTTGGAGGGCTATGAGCGCACCCTCGGTGCCGAGCATCCTTACACGTTGGACTCAGTCAACAATTTGGCAGTTTGCCTCAAGACCAGTGGCCAGCTGAAAGATGCAGAAGCGCTCTTCAGGAGAGCTTTGGAGGCCCAGGAGCGCACCCTCGGTGCGGAGCATCCTTCCACATTGAACTCAGTCAACAATTTGGCAGTTTGCTGCTCAGAGATGGGCCAGCTGAAAGATGCAGAAGCGCTCTACAGGAGAGCTTTGGAGGCCCGTGAGCGCACCCTCGGTGCCGAGCATCCTTCTACATTGAACTCAGTCAACAATTTGGCAATTTGCCTCAAGACCAGGGGCCAGTTGAAAGATGCAGAAGCACTCTACAGGAGAGCTTTGGAGGCCCGTGAGCGCACCCTCGGTGCGGAACATCCTTCCACATTGGCCTCAGTCAACAATTTGGCAATTTGCTTCAAGGACATGGGCCAGCTGAAAGATGCAGAAGCGCTCCACAGGAGAGCTTTGGAGGCCCGTGAGCGCACCCTCGGTGCCGAGCATCCTTCCACATTGGACTCCGTCAACAATTTGGCAATTTGCTTCAAGGACATGGGCCAGCTGAAAGATGCAGAAGCGCTCCACAGGAGAGCTTTGGAGGCCCGTGAGCGCACCCTCGGTGCCGAGCATCCTTCCACATTGGACTCAGTCTACAATTTGGCAAATTGCCTCCAGACCAGGGGCCAGCTGAAAGATGCAGAAGCGCTCTACAGGAGAGCTTTGGAGGCCCAGGAGCGCATTCTCGGTGCGGAGCATCCTTCCACATTGGCCTCAGTCTACACTTTGGCAATTTGCCTCCAGACCAGGGGCCAGCTGAAAGATGCAGAAGCGCTCTACAGGAGAGCTTTGGAGGCCCAGGAGCGCACCCTCGGTGCCGAGCATCCTTCCACATTGACCTTAGCTAACAATTTGGCAATTTGCCTCAAGGCCAGGGGCCAGCTGAAAGATGCAAAGAGCGCGAAGGGACACCTTTGTAGCTGCCTCAACATGTTCAGGAGGTCGTCGCCGTCAATAGAACCGGAATAGCCAGCAATGCCTGAGCAAAAACAGGCGATCCTGCGGTCGACTATCACCTCGCCAGTGTCCTGACATGATTGTTTGAATCTGAATTGAATGAGATAAGACATGGGTATGTCTGAAAATGGGAAAAGGATGAGAATATCATTGGAATAGGGGGTACCATATTTTCAGACAAATTCACATGTGTTCACTATTCACATGTTGCTTTCCAGTGGTGAATGCAGGGAACGATTTGGAGCGATTTGGGGGCCGCCATATTCGCCAGTTGGAGCTGCGAATTGAGTTCCCCAACCACATGATAGCTATGAAGAAATAAAGCCAAAAAAGGCGATTTTGTAGTGATTTGTGGGGATTGAACAAATCAGCTAACTACAAGGGAGAAAATGGCTGATTTTACCACTTAGCCAATTCTTACCACTTTAGCTAATTTACCCCCTAGATCCCCCTAGTATTGGGGGTGTCGCAACTCTGTATTTTAGGCAGATGTTTCGCAAATAACATGGATTCGACACTTTACAGAGCAAGATACCAAAGAAACAAACAGCACCATGAGTTTGTGCTTAGTTCGATGATTTTCCCAGGTCGCAGTGGAAGCAGCCGATGATACGCCACCGCTCTGCGATCCGTGCTATGAGTTGCTTAAGAAATTGAACGATGCGGCGATGGATCGCGATGAACAGTGCCCAAATTTTGACACAAACCCATGTCAATCTCTAGCTTTGAAGGATGTCAACTTGTGCGTCAAATATGTCGCAGGGCTACGAGAAGTGGGGTACCAATGCCTCCATGGCTAGTTCGGGATTTCCCTTCCAGGATGAAACCGTTGCGGGTCTCCATTTTTGACCAAAAATCGTTCCAAACTACCCAGGTGGCGGTTGAAACCAGCCTACGGACGACGAATGCATGGCTCTGAATGGCTCAAGGACTGAGCCCTCCTCGTGCCATATATTTTTCTCCACATATTTCATTGTCCAGGCCTCAGCTCCATGTTTTCAAAGATGTCGAAAGCCCTAGAAATAAGGGTCGAGTTTTGGTAAGTTATGTGGTCGTGTGGCATAAGTCTTATGGAATCGTGGAGGTGCATTTGGCTCGGAGGCATATCAAGGAGCATCTTTCAGCGGCATAGCAACGCATAGCAACCACTGCTTGGCACTGGCTGTGAGAAGGTGGAACTGTTTTGAGGTAGCTATATAATTCAAGGATATTCAAGCCACCAATGCATTCAAGGTACCAATCCTAGCTCGGTATAGCATGGTATAGTATAATTAGCTATATTAAACATTTGGTGCCAGTCCAATATATGATTGCATGGAGATCTAAACTCCATAGTAAAACTGCAGATTGCAGACTTGCTTCCGTAGCTCATTCAGTGTGTTCATTATCGTTGCCTTTGCTAAGCAATGGCAACTTCCACTGTGGACGACTTGCGGCGTTATTTCGAGAGTTTCTACCGAGAGGGTGGGGAGTTCCAAAGTGAAGAGTACGAGGACAGCAAGGAGTTCGATCATTGCTGGAAGCATCTTCGAACTGGCATCGTTGTGTGGAAAGATGCCATTGATTTGTCAGCAAGGCCAGGTGCCAAGGCATATTTTCACTACACCGGAGAACTGCCTTTCAGAAACATCACAGCCCTCGAGAAAGAAGCTGCAGAGGTATGGGCTTTATTGAAAACAGAGGGAGAAGGTGCAAACGCCTGGTGGGGGCGCGATGTGTACAGCGTCCCTAAAGCTCCCGACCTATGGGCAGACCAAACGGAACTCTTAGACAACAATTTTAGAAACATGATGAGGCGAGATGTGGAACTTCATGGTGAAGAGTATGTGAGGAGAGTGTATCCACCACGTGCATCGTTCTGCATTCCTTTGCTCATTGACCCAGAGAATGCCTATGACATTTCAGTGAAGCCAACCCCTGAGATGGAGGCAGCGGGAAAGCCACCGGGCAGAAATCTCGGTGGCAAGCTGTTGAATGAGCCCGGGCAGCCAGAGCGCTGCTGTGTGGTTCTCCGGGTGGCTGGGGCGGACGGAGTTACCAATGCTCGAGCTCGCCTCTTAGATGCTCTCCGAGCACGCGAAGCGGCTGCTCAGAGTTCTGGACTCAAGATTGCTGCCAAGGCGCGTTTGGGGGATGCTCTGAGGAGTCGAGGCTACTTCCCGGAAAGCAAGATCCTGCTAATAGACGTTCTGGAGACCCGTGAGCGTACCCTCGGTGCGGAGCATCCTTCCACATTGGCCTCAGTCAACGATTTGGCACTTTGCCTCCGAGACATGGGCCAGCTGAAAGATGCAGAAGCGCTCCACAGGAGAGCTTTGGAGGCCCAGGAGCGCACCCTCGGTGGGGAACATCCTTCCACATTGGCCTCAGTCAACACTTTGGCAATTTGCCTCCGAGACATGGGCCAGCTGAAAGATGCAGAAGCGCTCTACAGGAGAGATTTGGAGGCCCAGGAGCGCACCCTCGGTGCGGAACATCCTTCCACATTGGCCTCAGTCAACGGTTTGGCACTTTGCCTCCGAGACATAAGCCAGCTGAAAGATGCAGAAGCGCTCCATAGGAGAGATTTGGAGGCCAGTGAGCGCACCCTCGGTGCGGAGCATCCTTTCACATTGGCCTCAGTCAACAATTTGGCAAATTGCCTCCAAGACATGGGCCAGCTGAAAGATGCAGAAGCACTATACAGGAGAGATTTGGAGGCCAGTGAGCGCACCCTCGGTGCGGACCATCCTGACACATTGGCCTCAGTCAACAATTTGGCAAATTGCCTCAGGGCCAGGGGCCAGCTGAAAGATGCAGAAGCGCTCTCCAGGAGAGCTTTGGAGGCCCATGAGTGCACCCTCGGTGCGGAGCATCCTTCCACATTGGCCTCAGTCAACACTTTGGCAATTTGTTTCAAGACCAGGGGCCAGCTGAAAGATGCAGAGATGCTCTACAGGAGAGCTTTGGAGGCCCGTGAGCGCACCCTCGGTGCGGAGCATCCTGACACATTGGACTCAGTCAACAATTTGGCAGTTTGCCTCAGGACCAGGGGCCAGCTGAAAGATGCAGAAGCGCTCCACAGGAGAGCTTTGGAGGCCCGTGAGCGCACCCTCGGTGCGGACCATCCTGACACATTGGCCTCACTCAACAATTTGGCAATTTGCGTCAAGGCGAAGGGAAACCTTTGTAGCTGCCTCAACATGTTCAGGCGTCGCTAATAGAAACGGAATAGCCAGCAATGCCCCAGTGGAAAAAGGCGATCCTGTGGATTTTCCCAGTCGGGATTTCCCAGCTACGGCCATGACTCAGGTCGCAGTGGAAGCAGCCGATGATACGCCGCGACGAGCGATCCGTGCTATGAGTTGCTTAAAAAATTGAACGATGCGGCGATGGATTGCGATCCGGAACGGGGAAAACCAATGGAAATGGGTGAAATGGGGAATGGCCCTCAACAATTTACGGCCATACATGATAATCGATGTTTTATAGATGATGATTTTTCATTGCAATGTAGTAATGGGAAGGGCAGGGCCCAATGAGGTGTAGAAATTCTTCAATGTTTCATCCACAGGCTGGAATGGTGTCCAAATTTTGACACAAACCCATGTCAATCTCTAGCTTTGAAGGATGTCAACTTGTGCGTCAAATATGTCGCAAGGCTATGACGAGAAGTGGGGTGCCAATGCCTCTATGGCTCGGCGGATTTCCCTTCCAGGATGAAACCGTTGGTCTCCATTTTTGGCCAAAAATGTTCCAAACTACCCAGATGGCGGTTTCATCCGGACGACGAATGCATCGATGGCTCTGACGAATGGCTCAAGGACTGAGCCCTCCTCGTGCCTTCATATTTTCTCCACATATTTCATTGTGTAGGCCTCAGGTCCATGTTTCCGATGTCGAAAGCCGGTAGAAATAGCCATGGAAAATTGGGAATAAGGGTCGATCAATGTTCGAAAATGATGTTTAATGTGTTTTCTAGAGTTTTGGTAAGTACATGTCAACATTAATCAATTCTTGGGACATGGATGGTGCATCTGTCGAATCTAAATGTCAAGTATAAATCTCTGCTATTTCCGAACGGTGCCGGTCGAAACCAGCCCTTGATGCATCCCTGAGCTGAGGTTCGGGAATTCCCTACCGCCGCCGGATCTTAAGGCCTCCTTGCCATGGGGAATTGAAGCGTAGGATGAAGTTGACGTGTGGACCATTGGGATACGGGAAAATCTATGAACGAACATACCATCATTTAGACTCCAATGATCCACATATATATTTTTTTAAATTCACAACTTTAAAAACATGATTCCAGAGAGATTTACCTCGGGAACATCATATCAGAAAAATCCATTGATTATAAATATACTATAAAATACCATCCCCAGGCCCCAGGTAGATACAGATTGGGAAGGGGAATCATCCCCAAGTATAATTCAGCACGATTGATTTAACATGGCTATTGAACATGGCCATTTAGTTCGTTGAGAGATGTTGAGAGTAAGTATATCCATGTATATCCCCGTGAATCACATAAATTGTCATATGGTTCATCCACCATTTGATGCTTCAATTCCCATTTTTCCCTAATTTTTCATCGTGAAATTTCGCGAAAGTCAGCATTTCGATTTTGAAGTTGGTGAAATCCACCATTTGTTCCGGCAACGCTCCCATTTTCCCTGGTGAAATGGGTCCATTTTTCCTGGTCCAAACGAGGCCAGTTGATGTCAGTGGCCAAAGGAGATGGGAACCACGGCGAGGGACGTCACAGGCGGGTGGTACTTTGGGGGTTGGAAAATGGTCCGAAAAGGGGGGGAAAAACTGAAAACTGGAGGGAGTCTGAAACAATGGGGAAAACATCTGAAAAAATGGGGAAACCATCAGAATTTGGGGATTGAAGCACTGAAAGTTAGTGGGAATAGTGACATTTTGATGGTGAACCAGAAAATCTATCATAACATGTCATAAAATCAGCTATAGTTTTTGGATTGTATGATTTAAGGATGACTTAACTTAGAAAAGGCTACTTTAAGAGGGAGAAAAGTGAACCAGCAGATTTCTGGGTATATTTTCAGACGGGGATTGAACATGATTGAGCCAAGTGTCTCTGACGGGACAATTATACCATCATAGGGATCGAGGACATACTCGGGATATACTTGAGATGATCATTTGGGATATTTGTCCAATATGATTTAGAGTTTGGCTAAAGGAGAATGTAATGACCCAAGTTACAATTTAAATGACACATATGAACCATTGGACTCTTGGGTGCTTGCCTACTTTTAGACAAACCTACGGTAACGTACCCAAGATATATGGCAGCGCTGATAGGGAATTGATAATTTTCGACACCCTGAGATGGAATGGGGTTCCAATTCAGACGAAACTCGTCTGTGAAGTTTTGTGGGCAAAAGACTGAACGTTTTCAAGACTGGCATGGCCTGTTGTGTGTTTGTGAGTGGTTTCACTTTGAGTCATTGCGAGCCCATGTCTCAGCAAACGAGGCTGGATCGCAACGGCCAGGCACTCAGAATTCACATTGGTTGATGACTCGCACCGAGTTTTTCGGCTGTGGGACAGGTTCGGCGACATCGGAGATGTCTTTGTGCCTCGGGAAAGGTACTCGGACAGGCGCCGAGTCGTGGTGAGTCGTGAACGGTGCGTCGTGGGGCCAAGTGAACCATGAAGAAAAGGGATGAAACCCTGAAGACTTGTGATTAATGGAGATGTACATGGATGTATCCTCTGGTAATTTAACATAAGTGTGGAGAATTATGATTTTAGATAGGTAAATTAAGTACAGATGGCCATTTTCAATAGCTATATTAATTTGCCAGCGAGTATAGTGGGATGGTATGGGGGTACTTTTCACGGCGCAAGTCATGCAAAGTCTGTTCCAACTTCGCCTGTTCAGCACATTTGTGGCCTGAGAAAAGTCTGGAGAACGCTCTATGAACAATGGAAAATCATGGAACATCCATTTAGTTCAATGATTTTCAAAAACCGAACTAGATCTCCGCTAGTTCAGGGATTTTCCAATGGATTTTCTCATAATTAGTTTAATTATGTTTAATTAGTTTTCCATAATGGTTAGTTCAGTTTTTCCCATCATTTTCCCATGGATTTTCTCATAATTCAGGCATTTTCCCAGGGATTTTCCCAGATTTCCATGGCAGTTTCCCACGATTTTCCCACGCTTTCCACGTGTTCCATGGCCGCCAGGCCTCGTCCCTTCGCCTTCGTCCGATTTGTCGAAGACGAGGACGCCACCGAGGCGCACTGCAGGGATCGCCCACGCGACACAGAGTTCTGAACTATGTTATGATAATATAGAATAATAATAAATATATTATTATATATATAATATATGATAATGTGAACTATGTACATACATAATTATAGTCTATAATATTAAATCATACAATATATGATAACATAGATATGATATTATACAATATATTTCTATATTTAGCTATTTTTATGACGGAAAGTGTACCCAACCGACTGGTTCCACTCAGTGTTCAGGCCATCAAAGGGATGAATGGCACAAAGCTTGAGGCACGATTCGGTACTTTCCGTTCGTTTCAAGGCACTCTTGGCATCAAATGATCAGTTGCAATTCATATGACTACTGGATATTTGTATATATATAAGATATGGCTACATATGGCTACTATAGAATATGATGGATCATAATGGGATAGGCACTTTCAGAATTATTTTTTGATGCAGTTTGTGGGAGATGGTGCTTCTCCAGGGAAGCACCCGTGAACGGTCTCCAAAGCCGAAGCAGAGAAGAAGTCGCAACCTCAAAACGCGGGGGATGGATTTTGGACTCAGTGCTGTGTGACAGGCAGGTGATGATGTCAGTTGGAAAGGAGCTTTAAACTAGTTGCTGGAACTCACCCAGTCGTTCGATGCTTGTCCCAACGAACGTTGCACCTCGGTGGGTCGAAATCTGCCCGGCTCGTGCGGAAACAGCACGAGAAGAAAACAGTTTCTTACTGGTGCTTAGGGAATGGGGGTTGTTGGGATCATTCCCTCGTCCATTACATTGTGGTGGGGACAATCACACTATGCTAATAATCACAATTTCGCCTTTTTTTTGAGAACATATCCTCAAGGACTTTCTCAGATTGGACTTTCCAGATTTGAGAACTTTCCTTAAGGAACCCGTTCTTACTTGCTGGTTTTCCAGTTCTTCTAGTTATCCAGTTCTTCTCGATCTCGAGGCGGAAAAGTAAGAAGCGCTCGAAGTCACGTCGCCGCGAACGGTGCTCTCGTTGGGGAGCCCGCGAGCTGTCGACAGTGGACGTTTTGGGATGACATTTTGGGATGGAGATGTTCAATATGTTAGTGATATATTAGTAATATTCAGGAGATGTTTCATCATATTTAAGTAGGACTAACATACATATTACATCATATTACTAACATTTAAGTAGGGGATATTTCATACATATGTTAGTAAAATTTGGGATGTTTTGTTCAATTTTTTTGGAAGTTTCCTGGGCCTCTTTGGGACGATCCAAGAGAAGGTGGATGGCATGATGCTAGAGATATTGAAACCGGCAGCAGTAGTTGATTCATAGATTCCCCAATTCGGATTATGACTTGACCCCTCTGGACTCATGATGAACACGCAACTCCAATTCAACGTAACACAACATGGTCTGACCCATGCCCACATGGAGATGTAAATATGCCCGCTGGCCCACATTTCAGGTCGACGGCGCTCACGATCACGTCCCAAGCAGAGATGTGCTTCCAGTCCAAGTAGAGGAAGAAGGAGGAGGAGGCCCGGGGTGCGCGATGAATTTATGGGAGGATGATCCAAGAGGTGGATGGCATGATGCTGGGAGACTTCCGAAAAGCGGTAATGAAACCAATCCAGTCCAAGTAGAAGGAGGAGGCCCGGGGTGATGAATTTTTGGGAGATATATCAGATATACCATCCCAACTAACATAGATCCTGCGAGTTGAGGGTTGGAAGACAAGTCAGGGCTCCGTCCTACCGGTCAAAGCAAGTGCAACTTCCCCCGAGTTCGTGTTGCATATAGGATAAGTTCTATGTCCAGTGATCATCATCATATCCCCATCATCTCCCCATTAGATTCCGATGAAATCCATACTGTATGAAATCCATATGAAATCCATATGTCCATGGCAGGCGTCGCAGCAGTCTCTTGGTTGCAGACTGCCTTGTGGTCGTATGGCATAAGTCTTATGGAATCTTGGAGGTGCATTTGGCTCGGAGGCATATCAAGGAGCATCTTTCAGCGGCATAGCAACGCATAGCAACCACTGCTTGGCACTGGCTGTGAGAAGGTGGAACTGTTTTAAGGTAGCTATAATTCAAGGATATTCAAGGTACCAATGCATTCAAGGTAACAATCCTATCTCGGTATAGCATGGTATAGCTATATTAAACATTTGTTGCCACTCCCCTATATGATTGCATGGAGATCTCCAAGCTCCATAGGAAAACTGCAGATTGCACACTTGCTTCCGTAGCTCATTCAGTGTGTTCATTATCGTTGCCTTTGCTAAGCAATGGCAACTTCCACTGTGGACGACTTGCGGCGCTACTTCGAAGCTGGATACCGAGAGGGTGGGAAGTTCCAAAGTGAAGAGTACGAGGACAGCAAGGATTTCGATCATTGCTGGAAGCATCTTCAAACTGGCATCATTGTGTGGAAAGATGCCATTGATTTGTCAGCAGGACCAGGTGCCAAGGCCTTCTTTCATTACACCGGGGAGCTGGCTTTCAGAAACATCACAGCCCTTGAGAAAGAAGCTGCAGAGGTATGGGCTTCATTGAAAACGGAGGGAGAAAGTGCAAACGCCTGGTGGGGGCGCGGTGTGTACAGCGTCCCTAAATCTCCCGACAAATGGGCAAACCAGATGGAACTCCTAGATAACAATTTTAGAAATATGATGAAGAGGGATGTGGCACTTCATGGTGAAGAGTATGTGAGGAGAGTGTATCCACCACGAGCATCGTTCTGCATTCCTTTGCTCATTGACCCAGAGAATGCCTACGACATTTCAGTGAGGCCAACGCCTGAGATGGAGGCAGCAGGAAAGCCACCGGGCACGAATCTCGGCGGCAAGCTGTTGAATGAGCCCGGGCAGCCAGAGCGCTGCTGTGTGGTTCTCCGGGTGGCTGGGGCGGACGGAGTTACCAATGCTCGAGCTCGCCTCTTAGATGCCCTCCGCGCACGCGAAGCGGCTGCTCAGAGGCCTGGCCTCAAGATTGTTGCCAAGGCGCGTTTGGGGGATGCTCTGAGGAGTCGAGGCTACTTCCCGGAAAGCAAGATCCTGCTAAGAGACGTTCTGGAGACCCATGAGCGCACCCTCGGTGCGGAGCATCCTGACACATTGGCCTCAGTCAACGGTTTGGATTTGCCTCTCAGATATGGGCCAGCTGAAAGATGCAGAAGCGCTCTACAGGAGAGCTTTGGAGGCCCAGGAGCGCACCCTCGGTGCGGAGCATCCTTCCACATTGCTCTCAGTCAACAATTTGGCAAATTGCCTCAAGGCCAGGGGCTAGCTGAAAGATGCAGAAGCGCTCCACAGGAGAGCTTTGGAAGCCCAGGAGCGCACCCTCGGTGCGGAGCATCCTTCCACATTGAACTCAGTCAACAATTTGGCAAATTGCTGCTCAGACATGGGCCAGCTGAAAGATGCAGAAGCGCTCTACAGGAGAGCTTTGGAGGCCCGTGAGTGCACCCTCGGTGCCGAGCATCCTTCCACATTGAACTCAGTCAACAATTTGGCAATTTGCCTCAAGACCAGGGGCCAGCTGAAAGATGCAGAAGCGCTCTACAGGAGAGCTTTGGAGGCCAAGGAGCGCACTCTCGGTGCCGAGCATCCTTCCACATTGGCCTCAGTCAACAATTTGGCAAATTGCTGCTCAGGCATGGGCCAGCTGAAAGATGCAGAAGCGCTCTACAGGAGAGCTTTGGAGGCCCAGGAGCGCACCCTCGGTGCCGAGCATCCTTCCACATTGGCCTCAGCCAACAATTTGGCAGTTTGCCTCACGACCACGGGCCAGCTGAAAGATGCAGAAGCGCTCTACAGGAGAGCTTTGGAGGCCCAGGAGCGCACCCTCGGTGCCGAGCATCCTTCCACATTGGGCTCAGTCAACAATTTGGCAGATTGCCTCAAAGCTAGGGGCCAGCTGAAAGATGCAGAAGTGCTGTACAGGAGAACTTTGGAGGCCCGTGAGCGCACCCTCGGTGCCGAGCATTATGATACATTGGCCACAGTCAACAATTTGGCAGAGTGCCTCACAGCCATGGGCCAGCTGAAAGATGCAGAAGCACTCCACAGGAGAGCTTTGGAGGCCCAGGAGCGCACCCTCGGTGCGGACCATCCTGACACATTGGCCTCAGTCAACCGTTTGGCAATTTGCCTCAAGGCGAAGGGAAACTTTTGTAGCTGCCTCAACATGTTCAGGTGTCGTCGCCATCAGTAGAAACGGAATAGCCAGCAATGCCTCAGCGGAAAAAGGTGATCCTGCGGTTATCACCCAGTGTCCTGACATGATTTGAATCTGAATTGACATAAGACATGGTTGGAAAATCGCCCAGTTCGATGATTTTCCCAGCGAACCTCCATTCAGTTTGGGGATTTCCCAGCCATGGCCATGACCCAGGTCGCAGTGGAAGCAGCCGATGATACGCCGCGATGAGCGATCCGTGCTATGAGTTGCTTAAAACACTGAACGATGCGGCGATGGATCGCGATGAACGGGGAAAACCAATGAAAATGGGTGAAATGGGGATTGGCTCTCAACAATTTACGGCCATACATCATAATCGATGTTTTATAGATATTTTCCATTGCAATGTAGCAATGGGAAGGGCAGGGCCCAATGAGGTGTAGAAATTCTTCAATGTTTCATCATTTTCATCCACTGAGGCTGGAATGGTGTCCAATTTTTGACACAAACCCATGTCAATCTCTATAGTTTTGAAGGATGTCAACTTGTGTCAAATCTGTCGCAGGGCTATGAGAAGTGGGGTACCAATGCCTCCATGGCTCGGGGGATTTCCCAATTTTCCAGGATGAAACCGTTGCGGGGCTCCATTGCCCGCGTGGTGGTTTCATCCTCCGGACATCGACGAATGCATGGCTCAAGGACTGAGCCCTCCTCGTGCCTTCATCGTCCAGGCCTCAGGTCCATGTTTCCGAAGATGTTTTGAGAAAATGGGTAGAAATACCCATGGAAAATGGTGATATAAGGATCAGGGTCGATCAATGTTCGAAAACAGCGACGTTTATTCTGTTTCCTAGAGTTTTGGTATAAGTGCATGTCAATATTATTCATTTTTTTGACATTGATGGTGCATCTGTCGAATCTAAATGTCAAGTATATGAATTTCTGCTATTTCCGAACGTTGCCGGTTGAAACCAGCTCTTCATGCATCCCTGAGCTGCTTAACTTCGGGAATTCCCTACCGCTGGATCTTAAGGCCTCCTAGCCATGGATTGGAATCGAAGCGTAGGATGAAGTTGACGTGTGGACCATTGGGATACGGGAAAATCTATGAACGAACATACCATCATTTAGACTCCAATGATCCATAGATTTTTTATTCACAACTCTAAAAGCATGATTTCTGAGAGATTTACTGTGTTGGGAACATCATATCAAAAATCCATTGATTATAAATACCATCCCCAGGCCCCAGGTAGATACAGATTGGGAAGGGGAATCATCCCCAAGTATAATTCAGCACGATTGATTTAACATGGCTATTGAACATGGCCATTTAGTTCGTTGAGAGATGTTGAGAGTAAGTATATCCATGTATATCCCCGTGAATCACATAAATTGTCATATGGTTCATCCACCATTTGATGCTTCAATTCCCATTTTTCCCTAATTTTTCATCGTGAAATTTCGCGAAAGTCAGCATTTCGATTTTGAAGTTGGTGAAATCCACCATTTGTTCCGGCAACGCTCCCATTTTCCCTGGTGAAATGGGTCCATTTTTCCTGGTCCAAACGAGGCCAGTTGATGTCAGTGGCCAACCGAGATGAGAACCACAGCGAGGGACGTCCCAGGTGGGTGCGAAAGGGGGGTTGGACAATGGTCCGAAAAGGGGGGAAAAACTCAAAACTGGAGGGAGTCTGAAACAATGGGGAAAACATCTGAAAAAATGGGGAAACCATCAGAATTTGGGGATTGAAGCACTGAAAGTTAGTGGGAATAGTGACATTTTGATGGTGAACCAGAAAATCTATCATAACATAAAATCAGCTATAGTTGTGGTATGATTTAAGGATGACTTAACTTAGAAAAGGCTACTTTAAGAGGGGGAAGAGTGAACCAGCAGATTTCTGGGTATATTTTCAGACGGGGATTGAACATGATTGAGCCAAGTGTCTCTGACGGGACAATTATACCATCATAGGGATCGAGGACATACTCGGGATATACTTGAGATGATCATTTGGGATATTTGTCCAAAAAAATGATTTAGGCTTTGGCTAAAGGATAATGAAATGACCCAAGTTATGACAATTTAAAGGACACATATGAACAACCATTGGACTTCTGGGAACTTGCCTACTTCTAGACAAGCCTAGGGTGCTGAAATTCACCAAAGTACCCACGATATATGGCAGCGCTGATAGGGAATTGATGATTTTCGACACCCTGAGATGGAATGGGGTTACGAACTTCAGACGAAACAGGTATGTGAAGTTTCGTGGGCAAAAAACTGAACGTTTTCAGGACTGGCATGGCCTGTTGTTGTGTTTGTCAGTTTCACTTTGAGGCATTCTGAGCCCATGTCTTAGCGAACGAGGCTGGATCCCAACGGCCAGGGACTCAGATTCTGGACGTTACATGATGGTTAAACAGGTTGGATCCCCAAAAATCAATGCATCCACCATTTTCGGATAAATTTCACCTGACAATTTCTTCTCCCAGAAGTTTTGCCGACTTTTTCTTTTCTCAGGCCACCATATTTCCCAAGAAAAGTCTGAAAGTTGATTCGAATTTTTCGCCAAGCCGTTGGTTTTCCGCCAAGGCTTTGGTTTTCCACCAAAAAGACTTGGTTTTCCATGATTTTCAATGATTTGTCAGCATTTTCCCAGCATTTTCCCGCCGTTTTTCGTGGTTCCCCGGTCCACGACGTGGGCCGAGGCAAGGGCCTGGGAAAGGACGCCGGAGCCGCCCAAGCGGGCGAGCTGCGTCCCTGGGGCCCTGGTGGGGGATAGGATGGCTGGTGGTTGGGGGGGATATTAACTATTGGGGGATTGATTCAAATAGTGGGAAACGACTTTTCTGAAGTTGGGGATTAGATTTTAATCAAATTTTGATTGGGGATGAGAAAGGAATTTTGGAAATTCGGGGAAAATGTTGTTCTCAACCAAACATTTTTGAGGGATGATCTTGGGGGAAAATGGAGACATCTGGATAGATTTTATGAGATTTTGACCATTGGTCTTTGTTTTTTTTGGGCAGTTTTGATTATACCGTTAAAAACAAAGTTAGAATGCGGTTTTGGCTTCGCGTGATGGTGGCCCGTTTGGCCCCCCCCCACGGCAGACGCATTCTAACTGAAGGAACACCTGTAAATATGCAGAAACACAGTTAGAATGCGGCGCCAAAATTGGTAAGAAAATGTAAGTTTTGACTGGTATTTTACAGGCGAAATACAGTTAGAATGCCTCCTCCTTTTCTTCTATATTGTTCCTTGCCCTTCCTTTTCTTCTATGTATTTTTAATTGATCTATATCTGCTGTAGTTTCCGGGGAGGCATTCTATCTGTTGTTTTCCCTGCTGTAGCCATATGTTTCTGACCTGCAGGGAACCTGGAGTGCCCTGGTCTCTTTTCCGATCTCATCCTCTTCCCTTTTCTCCTCCTTTTCTTCTATATTGTTCCTTACCCTTCCTTTTCTTCTATGTCTTTTTTATTGATCTATATCTGCTGTATTTTCCGGGGAGGCATTCTATCTGTTGTTTTTCCACTGTAGCCATATGTTTCTGACCCGCAGGGAACCTGGAGTGCCCTTGTCTCCTTTCCGACCTTATCCTCTTCCCTTTTCTCCTCCTTTTCTTCTATGATGTTCCTTACCCTTCCTTTTCTTCTATGTCTTTTTCATTGATCTATATCTGCTGTAGTTTCCGGGGAGGCATTCTATCTGTTGTTTTCCCCAGTGTAGCCATATGTTTCTGACCCGCAGGGAACCTGGAGTGCCCTTGTCTCTTTTCCGATCTTATCCTCTTCCCTTTTCCCCTCCTTTTCTTCTATATTGTTCCTTACCCTTCCTTTTCTTCTATGTCTTTTTTATTGATCTATTCTGCTGTAGTCTCCGGGAGGCATTCTATCTGTTGTTTTCCGCACTGTAGCCATATGTTTCTGACCCGCAGGGAACCTGGAGTGCCCTTGTCTCTTTTCCGACCTTATCCTCTTCCCTTTTCTCCTCCTTTTCTTCTATATTGTTCCTTAATTACTCTTCCTTTTCTTCTATGTCTTTTTCATTGATCTATATCTGCTGTAGTTTCCGGGGAGGCATTCTATCTGTTGTTTTCCCTGCTGTATGTTTCCGACCCGCAGGGAACCTGGAGTGCCCTTGTCTCTTTTCCGACCTTATCCTCTTCCCTTTTCTCCTCCTTTTCTTCTATATTGTTCCTTACCCTTCCTTTTCTTCTATATCTTTTTCATTGATCTATATCTGCTGTTGTTTCCGGGGAGGCATTCTATCTGCTGTTTTCCCCGCTGTAGCCATATGTTTCTGACCCGCAGGGAACCTGGAGTGCCCTTGTCTCTTTTCCGACCTTATCCTCTTCCCTTTTCTCCTCCTTTTCTTCTATATTGTTCCTTACCCTTCCTTTTCTTCTATGTCTTTTTCATTGATCTATATCTGCTGTAGTTTCCAGGGAGGCATTCTATCTGTTGTTTTCCCCACTGTAGCCATATGTTTCTGACCCGCAGGGAACCTGGAGTGCCCTTGTCTCTTTTCCGACCTTATCCTCTTCCCTTTTCTCCTCCTTTTCTTCTATATTGTTCCTTACCCTTCCTTTTCTTCTATGTCTTTTTCATTGATCTATATCTGCTGTAGCCTTATCCTCTTCCCTTTTCTCCTCCTTTTCTTCTATATTGTTCCTTACCCTTCCTTTTCTTCTATGTCTTTTTCATTGATCTATATCTGCTGTAGTTTCCGGGGAGGCATTCTATCTGTTGTTTTCCCCACTGTAGCCATATGTTTCTGACCCGCAGGGAACCTGGAGTGCCCTTGTCTCTTTTCCGACCTTATCCTCTTCCCTTTTCTCCTCCTTTTCTTCTATATTGTTCCTTACCCTTCCTTTTCTTCTATGTCTTTTTCATTGATCTATATCTGCTGTAGTTTCCGGGGAGGCATTCTATCTGTTGTTTTCCCTGCTGTAGCCATATGTTTCTGACCCGCAGGGAACCTGGAGTGCCCTTGTCTCTTTTCCGATCTTATCCTCTTCCCTTTTCTCATCTTCTTCTTCTATATTGTTCCTTACCCTTCCTTTTCTTCTGTCTTTTTCATTGATCTATATCTGCTGTAGTTTCCGGGAGGCATTCTATCTGCTGTTTTCCCCACTGTAGCCAAATGTTTCTGACCCGCAGGGAACCTGGAGTGCCCTTGTCTCTTTTCCGATTTTATCCTCTTCCCTTTTATCCTCCTTTTCTTCTATATTGTTCCTTACCCTTCCTTTTCTTCTATGTCTATGTCTTTTTCATTGATCTATATCTGCTGTTGTTTCCGGGGAGGCATTCTATCTGTTGTTTTCCGCACTGTAGCCACATGTTTCTGACCCGCAGGGAACCTGGAGTGCCCTTGTCTCTTTTCCGACCTTATCCTCTTCCCTTTTCTCCTCCTTTTCTTCTATATTGTTCCTTACCCTTCCTTTTCTTCTATGTCTTTTTCATTGATCTATATCTGCTGTAGTTTCCGGGGAGGCATTCTATCTGTTGTTTTCCCCACTGTAGCCATATGTTTCTGACCCGCAGGGAACCTGGAGTGCCCTTGTCTCTTTTCCGACCTTATCCTCTTCCCTTTTCTCCTCCTTTTCTTCTATATTGTTCCTTACCCTTCCTTTTCTTCTATGTCTTTTTCATTGATCTATATCTGCTGTAGTTTCCGGGGAGGCATTCTATCTGTTGTTTTCCCCACTGTAGCCATATGTTTCTGACCCGCAGGGAAGTGCCCTTGTCTCTTTTCCGATCTTATCCTCTTCCCTTTTCTCCTCCTTTTCTTCTATATTGTTCCTTACCCTTCCTTTTCTTCTATGTCTTTTTCATTGATCTATATCTGCTGTAGTTTCCGGGGAGGCATTCTATCTGCTGTTTTCCCCACTGTAGCCATATGTTTCTGACCCGCAGGGAACCTGGAGTGCCCTTGTCTCTTTTCCGATCTTATCCTCTTCCCTTTTCTCCTCCTTTTCTTCTATATTGTTCCTTACCCTTCCTTTTCTTCTATGTCTTTTTCGTTGATCTAATTCCGGAAGATGTTTTTATTCTATGTATAGGTTTTTTTTACCGATTCCGGGAGATGTTTTTGAGGCCGAAATTATCGATTCTGTATTCTATGTATCCCATCGGGATTATATATATATTTACACACGCGTTTTTGCACATATCTGTACAACTTGAAGGGGAAAACATTCCAACTGCTGAAATGCTGGGAAGCATTCTAACTGCTGAAATGCTTGTAAAAACAATTTCAAAGGGGAACCAGTCTATTTGCGGAAATGCTGGTAGAAAACAATTTCAAGGGGGAAGTATTCCAACTGCTGAAATGCTTGTGTAAAAAACAACTTGAAGGGGGAAGCATTCAAACTGCTGAAAGGCTGGTAAAAAAAACATTTTCAAGGGGGAAACATTCTAACTGCTGAAATGCTGGTAAAAAGTAATTTCAACGGGGAAGCGTTCTAACTGCTGAAAAGCTGGTAAAAAAACAATTTCAAGGGGGAAGCATTCTAACTGATGAAATGCTGGTAAAAAAACAATTTCAAGGGGGGAAGCATTCTAACTGCTGAAATGCTGGTAAAAAGTAATTTCAACGGGGAAGCATTCTAACTGCTGAAAAGCTGGTAAAAAACAATTTCAAGGGGGGAAACATTCTAACTGCTGAAATGCTGGTAAAAAAACAATTTCAAGAAAAACATTCTAATTGCTGAAATGCGTGTGTAAAAAACAACTTCAAGTGGGAAGCATTTTAACTGCTGAAATGCTGGGAAGCATTCTAACTGCTGAAATGCTGGCAAAAGCAATTTCAAGGGGGAAACATTATAACTGCTGAAATGCTTGTAAAAAACAATTTCAAGGGGAACGCGTTCTAACTATACCCCAGGACTGGAAGTTAGAATGCCGCTTTGGTGGAAAGATGTGGATTTCAAGAAAAGACCCGCGTACCGCGTGAAAAATCCGGGAGGCATTCTAACCTATTTATTTAGTCCTGAAGGCATTCTAACCCTATTTATTTAGTCCTGAAACCCCTAAAACTCCAAAATTCTTAACGCATTCTCGACCGTCCCGTGTCTTCCATGTATATGGCACTGCACATATGCAGAATATGCATGTAAATTGCAAAAAAAACCAAAACATAATGAAAAATCATGAAGAACGCCTTTAAAACACTGAAAAATCAATGAAACACATGCAACAACATTGAAAAATCAATGAAAAATAATGAAACACATCTTAAAAATAATGAAACATCCATGAAAATAATGAGCAACGTCTTGAAAATAATGAAAAATCAATGAAAAATAATGAAAAATCAATGAACAATAATTGACAAGACAATAATCAAAAACTTCTTAAAATCATGAAACCCATGGAAAAATAATGAAAACCATCTTCAAAATAATGAAAACCATCTTCAAAATAATGAAAAATCAATGAAACACATCTTCAAAATAATGAAAATCACTGAAAAATAATGAACACATCTTCAAAATACTGAAAAATCACTGAAGGCCGTCCCGGATTTTTTAAATGGGTTTGATGATTAAATAAGGTTGGAATGCCTCCCGGAATTCTCACGCAGTACGCCGGTTTTTTCTTGAAATCCATGTCTTTCCACCAAGGTTGCATTATAACTTCCAGTCCTGCGGTATATATGCATGCATCTATGTAAACAGTATCTATGTATCTATGTTCTACCATATAATTAAAAAACAATGAAAAATAATGAAAAACGTGGTCAAAATAATGAAAACCCATGAATAATAATGGATCTCAACCGTCATTGGGGACCAAAATTTCATTTATATATATTTAAAAAATATATATATATAGAATTCAGAAGTTTTTGGGGCATATGCTGCGGAGGCATTCTAACCCTACAAAAAACAAGGTTTGGTGGCCCCGGCAAACCAAGCTTTTGGTCGGTTTTGGACTATTGTTTTTTACGGGTTTTTATGGGTTTTGATGAGTTTTTACAGGTTTTCGGCGGTTTTTTTTGCGGATTGTGGCGAAGCTGCTTCATCAAAGGTTTTGTTGACTAAAACCATTTTTTTTAGCAGAAACCAACTCAAAACAAGGTTTTGATAGCTCGACCCGCGTTTTTCAGGGATTTGGTTGATGTAGGATATACGATGATGATATCAAACTGTGGTAAGTACTTATCTCAACCGTCATTGCGGACCAAGATTTCATTTATATATATTTAAAATCTATATAGAATTCAGCAGTTTTGGGGGCATATGCTGCGGAGGCATTCTAACCCTACAAAAAACAAGGTTTGGTGGCCCCGGCAAACCAAGCTTTTGGTCGGTTTTGGACTACGGTTTTTACGGGTTTTTTGGGTTTGGATGAGTTTTTACAGGTTTGCGACGTTTTTTTTCGCGGATTGTGGCGAAGCTGCTTCATCAAAGGTTTTGTTGACTAAAATTTGTTTTTTTAGCCGAAACCAACTCAAAACAAGGTTTTGATAGCTCGACCCGGGTTTTTCAGGGATTTGGTTGATGTAGGGTGTATGATGATGATATCAAACTGTGGTAGTACTTATCTCAACCGTCATTGGGGACCAAAATGTCATTTATGTATTTAAAATCTATATTGTAGAATTCAGAAGTTTTGGGGGCATATGCTGCGGAGGCATTCTAACCCCACAAAAAACACGGTTTGGTGGCCCCGGCAAATCAAGTCTTTGGTCGGTTTTGGACTATTGTTTTTTACGGGTTTTTATGGGTTTGGATGAGTTTTTACAGGTTTGCGACGTTTTTTTTTTTTGCGGATTGTGGCGAAGCTGCTTCATCAAAAACCTAGTTTTGTTGACTATGACTAAAACTGATTTTTTCTCGCAGAAAACAACTCAAAACAAGGTTTTGATAGCTCGACCTGTTTTCTTTCAGGGATTTGGTTGATGTAGGGTGTATGATGATGATATCAAGCTGTGGTAAGTATTTATCTCAACTGTCATTGCGGACCAAGATTTATATATATATATATTTAAATATATATATATAGAATTCAGAAGTTTTGGGGGCATATTCTGCGGAGGCATTCTAACCCTACAAAAAACAAGGTTTGGTGGCCCCGGCAAACCAAGCTTTTGGTCGGTTTTGGACTACGGTTTTTACGGGTTTTTATGGGTTTTGATGAGTTTTTACAGGTTTGCGACGTTTTTTTTCGCGGATTGTGGCGAAGCTGCTTCATCAAAAACCAGGTTTTGTTGACTAAAAAAACCTGTTGTTCTCGCAGAAACTATATAGCTCAAAACCAGGTTTTGATATCTCAACCCGTTTTTTCAGGGATTTGGTTGATGTAGGATATAAATATAATATATATATATATATAGATAGATATTTAACATCTATATAGAATTCAGATGTTTCGGGGGCATTTGCTGCGGAGGCATTCTAACCCTACAGAAAAGAAAGGTTTGGTGGCCCCGGCACAACAGGTAGGCACATTTGATCAAACAATGTTTGAACATTTTTATCCACATTTACCAGCATAATACGTACTGAAAGGTAGAATTTTGAAGGGGAAGCATTCTAACTGCTGAAAGGCTGGTAAAAAGCAATTTCAAGGGGGAAGCATTCTAACTGATGAAATGCTGGCAAAAAACAATTTCAAGGGGGGAAACATGCTAACTGCTGAAATAATGGTAAAAAACAATTTCAAGAAAAGCATTCTAATTGCTGAAATGCTGGTAAAAAACAATTTCAAGGGGGAAGCATTCTAACTGCTGAAAAGCTGGTAAGGTAAAAAGCCATTCTAACTGATGAAATGTTTGTGTAAAAAACAACTTCAAGGGGGAAGCATTCTAACTGCTGAAATGCTGGGAAGCATTCTAGCCGCGGAAATGCTGGCAAAAGCAATTTCAAGGGGGAAGCGTTCTAATTGCTGAAATGCTGGTAGAAAGCAATTTCAAGGGGGAAGCGTTCCAATTGCTGAAATGCTGGTAGAAAGCAATTTCAAGGGGGAAACATTCTAACTGCTGAAATGCTTGTGTAAAAGCAATTTCAATGGGGAAGCATTCTAACTGCTGAAAAGCTGGTTAAAAAAAAAAACAAAGGGGAAGCATTCTAACTGATGAAATGCTGGTAAAAAACCATTTCAAGGGAAGAAGCATTCTAACTGCTGAAAGGCTGGTAAAAAGCAATTTCAGGGGAAAGCATTCCAACTGCTGAAATGCTGGTAAAAAGCAATTTCAATGGGGAAGCATTCTAACTGCTCAAAAACTGATACAAAAATAATTTCAAGGGGGAAGCATTCTAACTGATGAACTGCTGGTAAAAAAAAAACATTCTAACTGCTGAAATGCTGGCAAAAGCAATTTCAACGGGGAAGCGTTCTAAGTGATGAACTGCTGGTAAAAAGCAATTCCAAGGGGGAAGCATTCTAACTGCTGAAATGCTTGTGTAAAAGCAACTTCAAGGGGGAAGCGTTCTAACTGATGAAATGCTGGTAAAAGCCATTTCAAGGGGGAAACATTCTAACTGCTGAAATGCTGGCAAAGCAATTTCAAGTGGGAAGCGTTCTGATTGCTGAAATGCTGGCAGAAAACAATTTCAAGGGGGAAGCATTCTAACTGCATTCTAACATCTGATGATATTCATAGTGTGTAGGCATTCTAAGTGAGGGATTTGTGCAAAGAGTTTTCCGAAAACAACAAAAAACTTAAAACCCGGGTGCGGAGGCATTCTAACTGAATGATTTTTTGCCGTGCGCGTGCCGCATTCTAACTGAGGGGGAGGAATATTTGGAATTCGCGGAGGCATTCTAACTTTCATTTTAACGGTATAAGAGGGTAGACATTGAAATGTATCTGATTGTTTTGGAAAATTGCTGTTTGATGCCATTTGAAGATGGGTCAAACTCGTATGGTGAATGGAGGGGGATGTTTGCTATTACAATGTCAACAGCTGAGTATTCGGTTTTTGAACCTGTTCGTACGTGCTGGTTTTCCTGGTATTTCACATTTAATCTTTTTCGGGCCAAAGCTGATGAACGAAAACCTCAGTATTGATTGTTATTGTTGAATAAGGGTTGAATATACCTCACCTTTTTTCTAGTTGTTGAATTGTCCAGCCTCAGTATTTCTGTTCCTCTTTGATGATTCAGCCGTGAAAGAACTGCGAGCGAGCCATAGTGACTTCGAGACCTGAAGAAGATGACGGAACAAAGCCTTGGAAAGAGCTAAATGATACAATTTATGGTATAACAACCCCCAAAAAGATAAAAGTTTGTAAATCTCACTTAGTGATACATGAGTTTTCTATCTGTTTGGATCTTTTTGGGGTTAATGTTGGCTGCCTAATAATAAATACCCCCCCCTAAATTTTATTTTTTTGAAAAATATTTTTTGGGGGGGGGTCAACCTTCCTAAAATAATTTGTGGGAGTCTATAGCTGGGATCATGGAAGTGGGGGCAGAGGTGGTGGAGGCGACGGAGGAGGACGAGGAGGAGGAGGAGAAGAAGGAGAAGAAGGAGAAGAAGGAGAAGGAGAAGGAGGGCAACAAAATTGGAGTTGCGGAAAAAAGTTTCCACTATTGCCATGCCTGGTGCAGGTTTGTTATTGCTATTCTGGGGCTTGCAAAGGGGGTACCCTTTGTGGACCTGTTTTCTTGCGTTTTTTAATAAGGGTTTTAAAAGGAAATCAGCTGTTTGGTAATTCGATCAGATTTCTGGAATCTAAGCTTTTGCTGATCAAAAGTGAAGGCAGCTTTGAAAAGGATTTGCTTTACTTGACTCTTTTGGCAATACTAAAAGTAAATGGAGCTAATTGACTTTTAGTATTGGAGAAAAAAATGGAGTTGGAAAAAAAGTTTCTACTATAGCCATGTTGGGTCCACTATTGGCCATGCCCTCTGGACAAGGTCTGAACATGACTCTTTTGGCAATACTAAAAGTAAATAGAGCTAATTGACTTTTAGTATTGGAGATAAAACTGGAGTTGCGGAAAAATGTTTCTACTATTGACAAGATATCACTATTGGTCAGACAACATTACTATGATGATCCCCAATATGATGACTCTCTCCATTATCCCGAATATAGTGATCCTCCATGTCGTATAATCATCACACTGGGGAAATAAGCGTCCATTACAATGTGGCTACCCCACCATATTGTAAACATGTCCAATTGTGGGGACAATCACACTATGCTAATCACAATTTCCCCTGTTATTTTTTGAGAACATTCATATCCGGACTTTCCAGATTTGAGAACTTTCCTCAAGGAACTCGTTCTTGCTGGTTTCCCGCAGCGGATTTCACATGTGATTTTCTTCTTGTCCAGTTCTTCTCGATCTCGAGGCGGAAAAGTAAGAAGCGCTCGAGGTCACGTCGCCGCGAACGGCGCTCTCGTTGGGGAGCCCGCGAGCTGTCGACAGTGGACGTTTTGGGAAGATGACATTTTGGGATGGAGATGTTCAATATATTAGTAATATACAGGAGATGTTTCATCATATTTAAGTAGGATTACTACATACATACTAACATTTGTAGGAGATATGTCATACATACATATTTTAGTGAAATTTGAGATGTTTTGTTCAAATTCTTTGGAGCATTATGCTGAGAATTTGAGATGTTTTGTTCAAATTCTTTGGAGCATTATGCTGAGAGAATGAAACCAATCCGTGAAGATAGCAGCAGCAGTGCTTGATTCATAGATTCCTACCCAATTTGGATTCTGACTTGACCCCTTTGGACTCATGATGAACACGCAGCTCCCGCTGAACGTAACACAACATGGTCTGACCCTTGCCCACATGGAGATGTAAATATGCCCACTGGCCCACATTTCAGGTCGACGGCGCTCTTCACGATCACGTCCCAAGCAGAGATGTGCTTCCAGTCCAAGTAGAGGAAGAAGGAGGAGGAGGCCCGGGGTGCGCGATGAATTTTTGGGAAATATATCATATATATTCATATATCAGATATACCATCCGCCCAACATAGATCCTGCGAGTCACGGCTATTGTCACGGTCTATATTGACTGGAGGGTGATGATTATTTGATGCTGGGGACAGAACAATGACTATCTACTAACCCTCAATAAGGAGTAACACGTGTCATAGTGGGGGTAAAAATCTATATGAAGGAGTAGATGGAGATGCATTTGAGACATCTCAAGTTTTGCAGGACATGTCGACATTATCGCAGGACATGAAGTCAGGGCTCCAATGTCCTGGCTAAAACCACATTCAGATACCAAACCCTGCACATATTTGGTGATCAGTTCTACCAGTGATCACCATTTATCCCCATGAAATCTATATGAAATCCATATGTCCATGGCAGGCGTCGCAGCAGCAGTCTCTTGGTTGCAGACTGCCTTGTGGTCTTGTGGAATAAGTCTTATGGAATCTTGGTGCATTTGGCTCGGAGGCATATCAAGGAGCATCTTTCAGCGGCATAGCAACGCATAGCCACCACTGCTTGGCACTGGCTGTGAGGTGGAACTGTTTTAAGGTAGCTATATAATTCAAACCATATTCAAGGTACCAATGCGTTCAAGGTACCAACGCATTCAAGGTACCAATCCTAGCTCGGTCATGGTATAGCTATATTAAACATTTGTTGCCACTCCCCTATATGATTGCATGGAGATCTAAACTCCATAGGAAAACTGCAGATTGCACACTTGCTTCCGTAGCTCATTCAGTGTGTTCATTATCGTTGCCTTTGCTAAGCCATGGCAACTTCCACTGTGGACGACTTGCGGCGTTATTTCGAAAGTTTCTACCGAGAGGGTGGGGAGTTCCAAAGTGAAGAGTACGAGGACAGCAAGGAGTTCGAGCATTCCTGGAAGCATCTTCGAACTGGAATCGTTGTATGGAAAGATGCCATTGATTTGTCAGCAGGGCCAGGTGCCAAGGCATACTTTCACTACACCGGGGAACTGCCTTTCAGAAACATCACAGCCCTTGAGAAAGAAGCTGCAGAGGTATGGGCTTCACTGAAAATCGAGGGAGAAAGTGCAAACGCCTGGTGGGGACGCGGTGTGTACAGCGTCCCTAAATCTCCCGACCGATGGGCAAACCAGATGGAACTCTTAGATAACAATTTTAGAAACATGATGAAGAGGGATGCGGAACTTCATGGTGAAGAGTATATGAGGAGAGTGTATCCACCACGTGCATCCTTCTGCATTCCTTTGCTCATCGACCCAGAGAATGCCTACGACATTTCAGTGAGGCCAACGCCTGAGATGGAGGCAGCGGGAAAGCCACCCGGCACAAATCTGGGTGAAAAGCTGTTGAATGAGCCCGGGCAGCCAGAGCGCTGCTGTGTGGTTCTCCGGGTGGCTGGTGAGGAGGGAGTTACCAATGCTCGAGCTCGCCTCTTAGATGCTCTCCGAGCACGCGAAGCGGCTGCTCAGAGTGCTGGCCTCAAGATTGCTGCCAAGGCGCGTTTGGGGCATGCTCTGAGGAAGCGAGGCTACTTCCCGGAAAGCAAGATCCTGCTAACAGAGGTTCTGGAGGCCCATGAGCGCACCCTCGGTGCGGAGCATCCTTCCACATTGCTCTCAGTCCACAATTTGGCACTTTGCCTCCAGGCCAGGGGCCAGCTGAAGGATGCAGAAGCGCTCTACAGGAGAGCTTTGGAGGCCCAGGAGCGCACCCTCGGTGCCGAACATCCTTCCACATTGTGGTCAGTCAACAATTTGGCAAATTGCTGCTCAGACATGGGCCAGCTGAAAGATGCAGAAGCGCTCTGCAGGAGAGCTTTGGAGGCCCAGGAGCGCACCCTCGGTGCGGAGCATCCTTCCACATTGCTCTCAGTCCACAATTTGGCACTTTGCCTCCAGGCCAGGGGCCAGCTGAAGGATGCAGAAGCGCTCTACAGGAGAGCTTTGGAGGCCCAGGAGCGCACCCTCGGTGCCGAACATCCTTCCACATTGTGGTCAGTCAACAATTTGGCAAATTGCTGCTCAGACATGGGCCAGCTGAAAGATGCAGAAGCGCTCTGCAGGAGAGCTTTGGAGGCCCAGGAGCGCACCCTCGGTGCGGAGCATCCTTCCACATTGCTCTCAGTCCACAATTTGGCACTTTGCCTCCAGGCCAGGGGCCAGCTGAAGGATGCAGAAGCGCTCTACAGGAGAGCTTTGG